GGGAGAATACGACTAAGCAGTTAAATCCCGGCAAGGGAGCAACAACAATAACTTACACGTCCCGGCAAGGGAATAATCACATTCTTTTCTCTTACTGTTCATTTCTTACTTTTTAATCAAGTCAAAAATCGAGCCAACGCTCCAAAGGGTTTACACATCATATTTCCTTCTCATTCTCTTCATATCATATAGAAACCATCAATTAACAAGCAAGAGTCACCACAGAATCCCAATTAAGCACAAATAAAGACCCACGGTCATGCTGAGACACCGGGTGTATAATACTCCTCACCATGCCTATACACCATACTCAACATTTAGCAATTAGCAAATAATACTCTAATCCTATTCCCTCGAGCCAAAGTTAGATCAAACACTTACCTCGAATGCTCCAAACTCAACTCAAGCCTCTAGTATCGCTTTACCCTCGAATTCGGCTCCAACTCAGTCAAATCTATGAAATAATGACTTATATAATATCAATAATAGCTAAACAAATCAAACCCAATGCCTAAATATAAATTTACAACCTTTCTTCCAAAAATTCAAAATCGACCCCAGGCCCGCTTGGTCAAAACACGAGGTTCGAACCAATTTTCCGTATCACCCATTCCCCCACGAGCCGAATATACAATTTGTTTTCAAATTCGACCCAAAACGAGGTCTAAATCACCATTAATAAAAAAAGCCCTAGTTCTACCCAATCCCTAATTTTATAACCTTAATTCCATATTTAGCATAGAAATCTAGTGGGTGTTGATAAAAGTGGAAGAAAATAAGTTAAAGATTACTTACCCAAGAAGTTTGGTGAAGAAATGCTTTAATAATCGCCTAAGAGCTTTGGAGAAGAAGAAGTTGTGAAAAATAATGAGAATCCCATAATGCATTCTGTTTTTAGAACTTAAAATAACTGGGCGAATTTTTACTCTATGTGATCGCGGAAAAATCAATGCGATCGCATAGAACAAATTGATGACTACCAAAATTAACTCTATGCGATCGCCAAAGAATCAATGCGATTGCATAGAACAAATTGTGACCTCCCAAAATTTACTCTATGCGATCGCGGAAGAATCAATGCGATCGCATAGAACAAATTGATAACTACAAAAATTAACTCTACGCGATCGCGGAAGAATCAATGCGATCGCATATAACAAATTGATTACTACCAAAATTAACTCTATGCGATCGCGGAAGAATCAATGCGATCGCATATAACAAATTGATGACTACCAAAATTAACTCTATGCGATCGTGGACATTCCTATGCGATCTCATAGAACAAAAACCTGGACACCAGCAACCAGCAAAAATACCAGATTTTCTAAGTCCAAAAACACTCCGATGCCTATCCGAAACTCACCCGATCCCTCGGGGCTCCAAATCAAACATACATACTAGCTCAAAAACATCATACGGACTTGTTCGCGCGATCAAATCGCCAAAATAACATCATGAACATCGAATTAAACCTCAAAATCAAAGAATTTTTTCAAACTTCTTAAAACATCAATTTTTGCAATTCAAGTCCGAATCACGTCAAATGACATCCGTTTTTCACCAAATTTCACAGAAACATCTTATATCATATATAAGACATGTTCCAGGCGCCGGAACCAAAATACGGGCCCGATACTAACATGTTCTAATCAAATTTCATATCCAATTTTATTAAACATTTCCAGAAAACAATTTTTCTAAAAAAATTCATTTCTCGGGCTCGGGACCTCGAAATTCGATTTCGGGCATACGCCCAGGTCCCATATTTTCCCACGAACCCTCCGGGACCGTCAAATCACGGGTGCGGGTCCGTTTGCCCAAAATGTTGATCAAAGTCAAATTTATTCATTTTAACATCAAAACTTAGCATTTTTCGCAGAATTTCATATTTAAGCTTTTCGGCTAGGCGCCCGGACTGCGCACGCAAATCGAGGCAACTCTAAATGGGGTTTTCAAGGCCTCGGGAACACAGAATTCAATTATAAACAGGTGATGACCCTTTGGGTCGTCACAATATGCCTTGAGTTAATGTGGCAATTTCCTTGTGCAAATAGCAAGCCCTAGATGCATTATCCTTATCAAATCTTTCCTTGAGGTCTTCCCACACTGTGGGCATCGGAAGCATAGATCACTGAACTAATTAGGCTTGAGTATCAGATGGATGAATGTAGAGAGGATGGTTGTGATCGACCAGTTCTGCAGGGGTTGACGCAGTAACAGGAGAGCCATCTACATCTTCATTGATCGACATTGTCACAGCAGCGAGATCTTCACCAGAAAATCTAAAATTACTTACTCTTAGACACAATTTGACCTTGTTTCAACCAGAAAATCAGAATTCCCAAATCCTAGATTGAGCTGAGAGATTTCTGTATTGAAAATGGCTCGATCAAATTGATGAGCAGGTGATTTGATATAGCTGAGGAATCTAAGTTTTCTCACGGTTGAGCTTAAGGAAATCGAGCACCGGGCTCTGATACCATGTTAAGAAGCTCAGCTGTGGCAGATGAAAATTCTAGAAGAAGGAAAAGAGATAAAGAAGAAAGCTCTTTTATTTCACAACTGAGAAGAAAGGAAATGATAGTTGTGTACAGTATAACTAACCGACTACACTATTTATACTAACACTAACTAACAGCTAAGACTAGTTACAACTAATTACACTTAATTCTTAAATAGGTGGGTCCCACTATACTCAACAATTAACTCTTTTTTTTTCCTCCTGAGTTTCCCTTGGAGAATCTATTACATTTCTAATAAACAAATTAAAGACATAGCAAGGTTTATATGGTCAATTTTATTTAGTAATGTTAAAAGAAAGATTCCTTAGTATATATAAAAATAGCCAAAAAATTTATAATTAAAGTGGACCGGGAGGAGTAATTCAATAAAAATAGTTATAAACCGAAAAAAAAAAATCTCTAGGGAGAATCAAAGGTTTGAACGAAATCAAGCCGCTAATGATTTTTAAAGATTTGCATGCTTTTACTACCTTTTAGAGTATTTCTGTTTTGGCACATTCTTCGGAGAGAGGTGCACGTTCATCTATTCATATACTCTTATGTATTTCCATTGTTAGGCTAAAATTTGTGTAATAGAATAGTCTTACCAAATATTGTGGTGTGGGCGTGGAAATTAATGAAACTAGGAGAGAGTCTACAAAAGCATATTGCAAGTTCATGCACAATTATATGTAAGTATGTATTACTCATAATACGTGAAGTGACATTTTTGTTATATCACAACGTCTCTAAATGCTACTCTCTCCACTCCAAAATAAGTGTCCATTTATATAGCGAAAAACAAATTCAATTTGTTTTTTCAAAATTATCTTTATGTATGTATCCCTAAAAAGTCTTTTACTCCTCACATTAACTATGCTGCAACATTTAATTAAGGATAGTTTAGTCATACTAACTACTTTTGTCTAGAATTTTGTATTTCCTTGATGGGTGTGGCAAAAGCAAATTGGTCACTGATCGTGAACCGGAGGAAGTATTATTTTAGGAAACAAAAGTAGGAGACAATTGAATGAGGTTATGTTGAGCAGCTGAAATTATAAAGTTATTGTTTGGGATCCAATTTTATTTGAACAGAATTTAGTGACAGCTACTACCCCCCCCCCCCCAACCCCACCACCACACACACAAAAAAAAATGATCTTCAAAAATTAAAAAAAATTATTTATTTAAAAGTTTGTTTGACCCCATCTGAAGTTGGCGTTTTACAACTTACGCCCAGTTCTCAAGAAATAACAATTAACTTCGTGTACTTTTTGAAAATTTAAGGGGCTTTGAATTATTTACGGTCGTTTGATTTGTGAACAATTATAACATCGAATTTATAAGAGGATTAACTAATCATGAGATTATTTTATGAATATATTTTTATTTGTAGATAGTCCCTTGGACTGAAAATGTGATATATGGAGTATGTGTTTGATTTAATACTAGATAAACTTGGATAAATTTTTATTTTTAATTTTAACTTTGATTTTCTTAAAAAACTTGGGGAGAAGGATATCTTTGTAATTTTTGTTGTTTTATCCGATCGTGGACTAATAATCTTGGGATTTTTATCCCATATGCATACAATTGCGGCATAAATAATTTCAGAATTGCTTATACCAAAAAATAAACTTCAACCAAATACGAAATAAAGTAATCTCATATTTTATCACGAGATTATTATACTTAATCCATATAACCAGTACTTTTTCTATAAGGAAATTCTTTATTAGGAGGAGCTGAATATTAATTAGACTGAACTCATATTGTTAATTATATCCTTTGGTCCAACTACAGTGGAAAAAAGAAAAATATAACTTATTTCAAAACATATTTATACCATTTAGTCCCTCATACTAAAACGTGCATAAAAAAAATCGATCGATATTATCTTTGGAATTAATTTAAATAAAGACATTAGATCCTTTTTGGTTTTAATATGCCATGATAATTTTACACGGAAAACAAAATCGATAGAAAATAAAAGAGAAAGCAAAAGAAGAAAGAAAAAAAGGAAGTAAATAAACGTGGATATGGAAAGTTAAAGATGTCGAAGAGTATGCCGTTGAACAAAGGAACATTTCTTTGCGTATGTCTCAAGGAATGTGGTACAAAGCCCTCAATTTATTTGTTTTTTTCTCCCTTTTTTGAATAAAGTATCAGTGTTTACTTTGCCTGAAAAAAGATATAATTTATATTGCAAAATAAAGCAGTATGGTTAATTTATGGTACTAAGTTATTCAGTTGTCGTGGCACACTAAATTAAGTACGTATGCCATTAAAAATCATGGCAAATTGGGCAACGATATATGTGAAAGCACTTGATCTCTTTTTTTTTTTTTTTGGTCAAAATAAATTTTATTTAACCAAGAAACAATTATACAGTGCCTCTAATTCTTTAGGACTCAAGAGTTAGACTCATTACATCAATATAACTATTTTAACTACTTTTGACTCATTCAGCATACAATAGCAACCAAATACAGACTCCTATGGGAAACTATTCAGCTGCTCAAGTCTCTTCTTCCACTTCGCATTTTGCTGTCCTTTTATATGAACTTGGAGGACAATGTCTCTAACCTTTCGCTCTGCTTCCTTCTCCTTCCCTTGAAATCTTCTCATATTCCTTTCTGTCCATACTTGATACATTACTGCTGCAAACAAGAAGACCAGCATGTTGTTTTGGGCTCGACCACTTCTTGCTCTTTTACTCATCCAGGTAACATCTTCAAGCCATGTGCCTATCTGGTGATTTTCTCCCATCCAAACCAGCAGCTTGCTCCAAATATACTTTGTATATTGACATTCAAAGTATATGTGTTCCATATTTTCAGTCTGTCTTCTCTTACATAATACACAATCTTGATCAACTTGAATCCCCCATTTTGCAAGTCGATCCACAGTAGTGAGTCCGTGGTTTAAGGCTAACCACAGGATAAAGTTGTGCCTAGGAATACCATTTCCCAGTGTCAATGCTTTCCATTCAACCTTAGGGTACTTAGGTCGTGATAGAGTATACATCTTGTGAATACTGAATTTGCCTTTCACACAGAATTTATCTATGTTTGCAATTGTTTCTATCTTCTTGTATTAATCCCTAATATCAAAGATCTTCTTGACTAACCAACTAGCTTGCCTTGGTGTCTGCATCTCCGTAAAGTCTTCCTTCTTTATGTACATAGCATGTATCCATTTGATTCAAAGTGCATCCTTTTTCATGTGTATTGCCCACATCATTTTGCATATAGCAGCCTTGTTCCATCATTCAAAACTAATTACATTTAATCCCCCTGCAGATGTAGGCATACATACTCTCTCCCATCCAATTAGAGCTCTTTTTGAGGGGTTGTAGTTGCCTGTCCATAGAAAGATTCGACATACAGCATTGACTAACTGTATAATCTTCTTTGGAATAATGAATACCTGTCCCCAGTATGTTTGCATTTCAAAAAGTATACTTTTTATCAGCTGCACTCTACCACTGTATGATAGCAACTTTGAAGTCCAGCACTTTATTCTATTTGTGATCTTTTCCACCAGAGGTAAACACTGATGTATTGACAGTTTCCTGGAAGACAGAGGTACCCCCAAGTACTTAAAGGGCAGATTCTCCATTTTAAACTGAAATTCTGAGCATATCATTTCCTTGAAGTCCAGGCTCACTCCAGCCATATATATAGAACTTTTCTCTAGGTTGGCCTTAAGACCTGTCACCTTAGAGAAATGGTTGAATTTTTCTAGTAGTAGTTGGATTGAAATCTTGTCAGCTCTGCAACACATTATAAGGTCATCTGCAAAACATATATGAGTGAGATTAAGCCTTGCACACCTTGGGTGAAAATTGAAGTCTGGAACATCTTTGAGAGTCTTCAAGGTTCTGCTGAGATACTCCATTACTAGGACAAAGAGGTATGGGGACATAGGATCCCCTTGCCTCAATCCCTTTTCTGCTTTAAATCTTTTAGTCAAACCTCCATTAATCAGAATAGAGTAACTAGCATTTGTTACACATTCCATGATTAATTGAACTATCTTGCTAGGGAACCCATACTCTAGTAGCACCATCTGTAAGAAAGGCCATTCAACAGAATCATAAGCTTTCCTTATATCTACTTTAATAATGCACCTTGGGGACACTCCTTTTTTGTTGTATCCTTTCACCAGTTCATGAGCAATGATCACATTATCCAGTATGCTTCTTCCCCCAATAAATGCTGATTGAGCTGGTCCAACTATATGATCCACCACTGACTTTAGTCTTGTTGTGAGAATCCTAGCTATGAGTTTATACACAGTAGTACAGCAAGCTATAGGCCTAAACTCTTTTACATAGGTTGGACTAGCTACCTTTGGCACCAATGTGAGTGTAGCACTACATATTTCCCTCAGTAATTTCCCTGTGTTGAAGAACTCTATCACTGCCTTGATCACCTCTGCACCAACTATATGCCAGTACTCTCTGAAGAATTCCACTGGGAAGCCATCAATACCAGGTGCCTTGTCTCTAGGCAGTTCTTTCAACCCCTGAAGTATCTCTGCCTCTGTTACTGCTTTAATCAATTCCAGCTGATGTTCCCTCTCCAAGCACGGACCATTTCTAGCTATATTCACATCAAGGCAAGGTAGTTCAGCTGCCTTTGTTCCCAGTAACTTCTCAAAGAAACTAGTGAATTCTTTCTCTACCAGTACAGGATCAGTCAACTTCAGCCCATCTTCTTTGTAAATGGTTGATATTCTGTTTTTAGCCTGTCTTGCTTTCAAGTGTCCATGAAAGAATTTTGTATTTGAATCACCTGCTGTGGTCCATATTGCCCTTGAATTCTGTCTATACACTTTTTCCTGCACATTTTGCCATTTCTCCAACTGTAACAGAACTTCTTTTTCTGCTCTTATCAAGGATTCATTGAATAAATCCTTATCTAGCTTCTGTTGGATATCTGATAGTCTTTCCTCCAATTTATTCACCTTGTCACCTACAGAGTTATATGTTTTGTTCAGTTCTTTCACCTTGTTTCTCAGCATTTTCAATTTTCTCCAGATTGAATACATTGTGTATCCATCTACCCTGTGACCCCACACTATCTGCACTGTCTTCTGAAACTCTTCCTCCTGTAGGATTACATTTAGCAATCTGAATGGTTTTGGTAGGTGGTTCCTTGTTGCATCAGTGCATAGAACTATGGGAGAGTGGTCTGAAACCACATAATTATCATATACTGCCTCAATATATCCATATTGCAGGAACCAAGAGTAGTTCCCTAGTGCCCAGTCAATGTTGCTATATATTCTATCATTAGCCTCTCTCTTATTACACCAAGACCACTGACACCCTTTCCTGTTTAACAGCCCCAACCCTATATCAGTGACACATTCTTGGAAATCAATCACCTCATTCAAATGGACAGGAGCACCATTCGGTCTATCACTTGTAGATAGCATAATGTTAAAATCTCCCAGTATCACCCAAACTTCCACCATATTATTACTAATATGCTTTAGCTGAGACCAAACTTCTTTCCTTTCATTTATTGTATTGAGTCCATACACAAAGGTAATCCAACACTTGAATGTTGAATTTCTATCTTTCAGCTCACAGTGTGCAATTTGAGCCCCAGCTTGCACAATATTCACTTTCACCTGTTGATTCTTCCACAAGATCCATATTCTCCCATTAGGAGCATAAGAATAGTTAGTATAAACTTCCCATTCACTTCCCATCTTATTTTTTACCTTTTTCTCATTCCATTGCTTTACTCTAGTTTCAAGACACCCATTATTGTAACTTTATTCTTAAGCAGATAAGATTTTAACTCTTTCTGCTTATAGGGCTTATTCAGCCCTCTTATATTCCATGCACAGATGATCATGGGGGTTGAACTACAGGTACTCTTACCCCATTTGATGATGAGCTAGCATCCTCCTTTTCCTGAATCCTTAATGCAGTGAATCTGTTCTGTTGTAGTCTAATTTGTATTGCTTCCTCCATTGCATTCTTTCTCACTGTGTTCCTCTCTTTTTGCACCTGCTTTCCTTTTGATTTTGCTATCTGAAAATCAGCCTCCTGTCTTTGTTCATCTTCATTATTTGAATTCACATTGTTTTCCTCAGCAGTGGTCTCCTTGTTCTGTGTTTCCTCTCTAGCTTTGGCAATCCATTTTGTAATAACTTTCTTCCCTTGTTTCTTTCCTTCCTGCAGTCCCTTTCCTTCCTTTTTTTCTCCTTTCTGATTTTTGCATTCTCCTGTGTTATGTCCTACACTGAGGCAATCCTGGCAAAAGGATGGATGCCAGTCATACTTCAGTTGTTGTTGTCTCAATTCTCCATTTGGGGTCTCAATCAATACATCCTCAGGCAATGCTTGGGATATGTCCATTTCTATCAACATTCGAGCATATGAAATTCGAGCTTCCTGTGCTGTTAGCTTATCTGTGCATATTGGTTTTCCTATTGAACTTGCAATTATTCCCAAATTTTCTCCTGTCCAATACTGTATACAGTAGCCCAGGAAACGTTACCCACACTGGTACATTTGTCATCAATTCCTTACTCATTTGAAATCAGCCTCCCAATTTTTCAGAATTATAGGCCTGTTATTAAATGTATAAGGTCCATTTTGCATAACCAGGTCTCTGTCTTCATCACAATCGAACTTAAAAACGAAGTAGCCCTCTTCATGCAATAGGACTTGAGGAGTTGATACAAATTGCCATACACCATACACAAAATTGAGCATCTCCTTAAATTGAGGTGTTCCTCTAATACATACCCAATCAAGCTGGTTTGCCATTTCCTCGTTTGTTCCTCTACCTCTATCATGTTCAATCGTACAATTTTCCTCCCATCCTTAACAGTAGGAGGATAGTAATTCAATTTCAATCCTTGCTGAATTGATCTATTACCTTGTATCACCGCTGATAGGGTTGGTTTTGTATTCTCAAGTCCAGTCGAGAATGTCAGTTTCCTAGCTGCCATCGCCATTTCTGTTTCATTTTCTGCTAGATCTGTCGGAGTTATTGCAATTGAAGCAACTGTTGGAGCTTGGATTATTGTTTTCTCCACAGATTCCTTCTGCTCATGTCCATGCATAATCGTTGGTGCACTCCCCATACCTTTCATCCGATGGAACAGTTGCGCTGGTTCTAAATTCTGTTGAATTCCTGTTTCTGGTGTGACTATCCTCTGATCTTCCTCATCTAGTTTCTCTGATTGCTCTGTGTTTGTTGCCTTTGCTGTATTCTTCTTCCTCTGCCTCGCCATTGCTGACCGTGCAGTTTAGCAATCCTTGCTTAAACTGCGCCGAGACCTTTTAGTGCAACGTCGTTTTCTCTAGTATTTGACTTTTGTGCACTTGATCTCTTTCTAATACTGATATATACAATATTAAATATTTACCATATGCACTGAGATTGTATTTCATGATTGCCCACGCAATTCATTCCGACAAACATTGCAAAAAGGAACTCAAAATTAAGCACTTAGCACAAAATAATAACCATTTTTGACTTTGTACTACCTTTAATAAAAAAATAAATAAGTATGTATTTTACAATTTTACTCATAATAATGATAGCATTTCAAAAAGTATTGAAAAATATTTTCGGATAATGATATGGGGTAAATATTAAGAAAAGTTTGTCTTTATCTTGATTTGATAAAATGGACATGTAAAAGTAAAAATATATTTTTAATATAATAAACAAATAAAAATGAACGGAGAGAGTACTATATTAGAAACCTACACATACTTAGGAGACTTTCACTTTTTGTGGCTATTTTGTGATTATTTGAATATATATTTGTTTTTTCTTTTGTCAGCTATTCAACTTTCCCAAAACTAACTCTTCTAAAAATAAATACAGAAATGCACATTATTTCCGAAAGTCACCCAAAAAATTTGGGGTATAAAGATATATAAGAAACTACTAGTCTTATGATACGTGCTTTGCGCGTATACACTATATTAATAAGAAAAAAATTTAAAATACTATATAAATAATATATTAAAATATTATATTTGTGTG